TGACAATTATAGTCAAGTCATTTTCTACATGACAATTATAGTCAAGTCATTTCCCACATGACAATTATAGTCAAGTCATTTCCCACATGACAATTATAGTCAAGTCATTTTCGACAAGACAATTGTAGTCAAGTCATTTTCTACATGACAATTAGTCAAGTCATTTTCTACATGACAATTATAGTCAAGTCATTTTCTACATGACAATTAGTCAAGTCATTTTCTACATGACAATTATAGTCAAGTCATTTTCTACATGACAATTATAGTCAAGTCATTTTCTACAAGACCATTATAGTCAAGTCATTTTCTACAAGACAATTATAGTCAAGTCATGTTCTACATGACAATTATAGTCAAGTCATTTCCCACAAGACCATTATAGTCAAGTCATTTTCTACATGACAATTAGTCAAGTCATTTTCTACATGACAATTATAGTCAAGTCATTTTCTACATGACAATTATAGTCAAGTCATTTTCTACATGACAATTATAGTCAAGTCATTTTCTACATGACCATTATAGCCAAGTCATTTTCTACAAGACAATTATAGTCAAGTCATTTTCTACATGACAATTAGTCAAGTCATTTTCTACATGACAATTATAGTCAAGTCATTTTCTACATGACAATTAGTCAAGTCATTTTCTACAAGACAATTATAGTCAAGTCATTTTCTACAAGACAATTATAGTCAAGTCATTTTCTACATGACAATTAGTCAAGTCATTTTCTACAAGACAATTATAGTCAAGTCATTTTCAACATGACAATTATAGTCAAGTCATTTCCCACAAGACCATTATAGTCAAGTCATTTCTGCATGACATTTATAGTCAAGTCATTTTCTACATGAAAATTATAGTCAAGTCATTTTCTACATGACAATTATAGTCAAGTCATTTTCTACATGACAATTATAGTCAAGTCATTTTCTACATGACAATTATAGTCAAGTCATTTCCCACAAGACCATTATAGTCAAGTCATTTTCTACATGACAATTACAGTCAAGTCATTTCCCACAAGACCATTATAGTCAAGTCATTTTCTACATGACAATTACAGTCAAGTCATTTTCTACATGACAATTATAGTCAAGTTATTTCCCACAAGACCATTATAGTCAAGTCATTTTCTACATGACAATTACAGTCAAGTCATTTCCCACAAGACCATTATAGTCAAGTCATTTTCGACATGACAATTACAGTCAAGTTATTTCCCACAAGACCATTATAGTCAAGTCATTTTCTACATGACAATTACAGTCAAGTCATTTCTACATTACAATTACAGTCAAGTCATTTCCCACAAGACAATTATAGTCAAGTCATTTCCTACAAGACAATTATAGTCAAGTCATTTTCTACAAGACAATTATAGTCAAGTCATTTCCCACAAGACAATTATAGTCAAGTCATTTTCTACAAGACAATTATAGTCAAGTCATTTTCTACAAGACAATTATAGTCAAGTCATTTCCCACAAGACCATTATAGTCAAGTCATTTTCTACAAGACAATTACATTCAAGTCATTTTCTACAAGACAATTATAGTCAAGTCATTTTCTACAAGACAATTCTTAAAATGTTTCCTTTCTTTCTTACCTTTCTTTCATCGTAAAAAATATTTTCTTTGTGCGGGCCTTCGTTGGTCATTCCATCGTTACATTTGTCCATTATAACGTTTGTGTGACAAAGCCATGTTTCATATCATAAAAATTTAGTGAAATAAAAGTGAACCTACAAAGTTTATCTGTTGAAGAAAACATTAACCTCATTGACATGTCTTTCCAGTGTTTGTCTGCTGAAAGGTTCTGAGCACAATGCCTATAGAATCGATGATGTCACAGAAATGTATGCAACCAGCTAATATTTCATATCAATACTCTTTGTTTTTTTCTTGTCAATAAACCATGCTATTGTTCTCGCTCAAAGCACACATCAGAGCCCTATTATCATTATTATAATTATCTTTGAAAGGAAAGTCAAAATGCATCAGCAAACCAGAGACCAAACGGACAGCATTACTTTTACAAATACACAGAGAAGCCAGAAATGCAACACACGACAACACACAGTATCTATTATCTTGACTATTATTCTTTTTTCAAATGGCACATAGATTTACTTAGCTAGGATTATGGCCATACTATAGTAGTGCCTTTTTCCTTCTTGATACATCAACCTGCCGAGTGGCGCAGTGGTCTAAGGCACTGCATCGCAGTGCTAGCTGTGCCACTAGAGATCCTGGTTCAAATCCAGGCTCTGTCGTAGCAGGCCGTGACCGGGAGACCCATGGGGCGCACAATTGGTGTAGGGGAGGGAATGGCCGGCAGGGATGTAGCTCAGTTTGCAACGCCAGGGTTGTGGGTTTGTTTCCCACGGGGTATGAAAAAAAGTATGAAAATTAAAAAAATAATGTATGCACTCACTAACTGTAAGTTGCTCTGGATAAGAGTGTCTGCTAAATGACTAAAATGTAAATCATGTATCTATCCTATTAACAAAGCTTTAGTTTGACTATGACTTTTACAACAATAGCCAAAATTCAAGCAAGCGTCCTACTATTATCACATAACTGGCTGGCTAGCAGTGATTGTTTCAACAACATGCTCTCTGGCCCAGTGATGCCTATGCAACAACAAGGACCTCAACCATTTCATACATGTACATACTTTACATAGATTTTTGCAGCTGCTCACCCCCCCAAAAAAAGAATGCAATAAAACTCCTAACAGTTTTAGGGTGTGTCCCAAATGCCATTCTATAATCAGTGTTTCCCGACTGTGGTCCTCCAGTACCCCCAGAAGTACATATTTTAGTTCTGGGCCCCCGGACAAGCACACCAGATTCTACTTGTCAACTAATCGTCAAGCCCTTGAACAGTTGAATCCGGTGTTTTTTTGTCAGAGGCTTCAACAAAAATGGTGTACTGACCGGAGTTGGGAACCACTGGTCTATATAGTGCACTGCTTTTGACCAGACCCTTAAGGACCCCCCACTATAAAGGGAATGGAATGCTATTTGGGACGCGGGCCCCAAGGTATATTTTGTTTTCTCTTCACAGGTAACACAGCCAACTAGGAGTGAATGGATGATTATAAATCCCATGTATAACAACCTCTCATACGATCTTGTCACATATTCTCATGTAAAATGTACGTTCATTTAAACAACGGCTCTTCTTTGGTATGGAAATAAGGCTGGATCTCCGGAAAGACAATAACCAAACACGATTCGTAACTAGATCTCAAGCTGACATCATCAAAATCCAGAAACCAAATCGTATAGCTACTGTATCTATGCAGCCTCTGTGTTGCCTTCAATTAGATATTTAGCCATCGTCATACCATTTATATAGGACGCATCCCAAATGGCACCCTATTCCCTATACAGAGCTCTATGGGCCCTGGTCAAAAGTAGTGCACTATATAGGGAATAGGCTGCTATTTAGGACTCACCCTGAAACATGTGACCACCTGTCCAACATCACTCTCCATCTACAACGGATACTAAGTAAGGGCACACAGTGTGTGGTTTGTTTTATACAGTATGGATGCATTGAGTGACACCGCAAATAAATAAATAAATTAACCATAAGAAAAAGTATTGAAAACATTATCCGAGTTTTTAAATCAGCTGCCTTGATATGAATGGTGAAGCTCTGGATGGTTCTAGAATTATAGAATTGGTTCTAGAACGTGCAGATTCTATGTACTACTTGTACAGTATTATATAAAGTCTGTCTGTAACGATGGCGTAAGGCGTTGGAGTCTGGAAATAAGGCAGCCAAGTATGAGTGTCATATTGGTTCTTCACCAGATAGGCTCCCAGTGCTACCAAATCCACCTCATCTTCCTATTGAACAGTACAAGTGGTATATATAGAGACATTGACATTTAAAAGATTTCCCTCTGGGATAACGCTGTTCAGATACGAACCAGTATGCCATTGATTTGGTATCAATATAATGCGTGATGAAGAAGTCTTAAATTCGGCTCCTGCATGCTACCCGTTTAGTATTCGGATATGGCAGGTACATTTACTGCTAAAACGTAATGTGCATATCATAAAGTCGCCTACTCATTCCACTATTGTATTTTTCTGTTTGGATTAACTTTTGAAACGCACTGAAACAGGATACTACCATCCTACAGCAAACGTGCGATTGTGTGATTTCGTGCCAGATTTCCTATTTATTAGATGATTTCTGAATAAAAATATTGCATTATTGAATGACTAGATACAACATGGAAGATTATACTGTACCTTGGGAACTCTACCCCTTATAACAAGTCTGCCACTGAAATTGACCCCTAGTCCCTATAGTGCACTACTTTTGATCAGAGCCCTAGGGTGGCATTTCAGACGCAGACCACGTCTCGCAGACCACGTCTCGCAGACCATGTCTCGCAGACCATGTCTCGCAGAACACGTCTCGCAGACCATGTCTCGCAGAACACGTCTCGCAGACCACGTCTCGCAGACCACGTCTCGCAGACCACGTCTCGCAGACCACGTCTCGCAGACCACGTCTTCACTCACTTGAAATGTACTCATTTTTGATTTCATAGGAAGGTGAAATGAAGTGGTAATGTATTGTGAATCAGATATCTTTTAACAGTAAAAGTGATATAAAAAAAAAAACGTGAAAAATTAGGAGAGAGATTTTCAGGTTAGGCTGGCACTTTTCACTGGACAAAATGGCCGAGAGTCCAGAAGTTTTTTTCCCCCCGACAAACAGTAATAAAAAAACAGAAACCATAAATATATATATAAATTTTTTTTTTTAAAGACGATCTGTGTCCAAATTAGCACCCTAGTCCCTATATTGTGCACTGCTTTTGACCGGGGCCAATAGGCAGAGGCCCATAGTGCACTATATAAGGAATAAGCTTCCATTTGTGCGCACACAATAACAACATTAGCCCAACATCTCTACAGTCGTCGGCTGGTCTTTGCTCTCCAGCCAGTCGAAAGAGGCGTTCACAGTATCACTACATATCTGCTGAAACAGAGGGTCGTTCTTCAGCTCTTCCAGTGTGGCGGCTTCGTACTGTTCTTGCTGCTGATTGGACGGATCGAACAGCAGGTTGGCGTCCAACGTGTTCAGGTCTGTGATGCTACTTGAGAGGTCAGAGGTCAGCCTGATGTCGTTGGTGAAGTCGGACGCCACGGCGGCGTTGAGTTCCGAGGCCACCTGACCAACCAGCTGAGAGCTGGGGTTGAGGCCTTCGGCGTCGACGTTGAGGCCGTCGTCACCTAACAGGTCTTTAACGGTGTTGTTGAAGTCTAGCTGTTGTTGTGCCTCGTATTCTTCCTCCTGTTGTTGCTGCTGCTGGGTGTGGGATGGACCGAAGGAGTTGGAGCCCGGCCTGGAGCTGGGGATGGGGACTCTGGAGATGGGGACTCTGGAGATGGGGACTCTGGAGATGGGGACTCTGGGGATGGGGACTCTGGAGATGGGGACTCTGGAGATGGGGACTCTGGAGATGGGGACTCTGGAGATGGGGACTCTGGAGATGGGGACTCTGGAGATGGGGACTCTGGGGATGGGGACTCTGGAGATGGGGACTCTGGAGATGGGGACTCTGGGGATGGGGACTCTGGAGATGGGGACTCTGGAGATGGGGACTCTGGAGATGGGGACTCTGGAGATGGGGACTCTGGAGATGGGGACTCTGGGGATGGGGACTCTGGAGATGGGGACTCTGGGGATGGGGACTCTGGAGTTGGGGACTCTGGAGATGGGGACTCTGGAGATGGGGACTCTGGAGCTGGGGACTCTGGGGATGGGGACTCTGGAGCTGGGGATGGGGACTCTGGAGCTGGGGACTCTGGAGATGGGGACTCTGGAGATGGGGCCTCTGGGGATGGGGACTCTGGGGACTCTGGAGATGGGGACTCTGGAGCTGGGGACTCTGGAGCTGGGGATGGGGACTCTGGAGCTGGGGATGGGGACTCTGGAGCTGGGGATGGGGACTCTGGAGATGGGGACTCTGGGGATGGGGACTCTGGAGCTGGGGATGGGGACTCTGGAGCTGGGGATGGGGACTCTGGAGCAGCCTAGCCTGTGTTTGGAGTAGCTGGGGAAGGAGCTGTCCTGAGGCCTCCTGAAGCTCCTGGAGGTCCTGGATCTGCTGGAGCTCCAGGTCCACGTCCTCACCAGGCCCTGATGGTGATTGGTTGTCTCCAGAGGAGAAGCTCATCTCCCCCCCGCCTCCTCCAGTGCTGGTGAGGTAGCTCCCGTGCTGCTGGAGCTCGAAAGAGGCAGGGCTGGAGCCGACAGTCTGCAGCTGGGACAGGTAGGCATCCCCCCCCCTGACTCCTCCTCCTCCTCCTCCTCCTCCTCCTCCTCCTCCTCCTCCTCCGGTGGTGAAGCCCCCAGGGGCAGTCTGACTCTGAGACTGGGTCTCCAGCATCTGGGTGAGGTTCATGCGGGCGTTGTAGTTGGAAGGAAGGTTGTTGATGCCCAGGCCCCTGACTGTGTCGTCCACGCCAGAGTCCATCTTACTCAGGAGGACGTTGGTGATCTTAGTGGCATTACTCTGTCCCTGGATGACCTGCATCTCTACAGGAAGCAGCTCCATCTCCACAACGCTCTGCATCATGATGTTTAAGGGCACCGATTGGCTGCGCTGGGCCATGCTGTGGAGGTTGCCGTCCACCGATTGGCTGTTGGACAGGATGCTGAGTATTTCCTGTGGGGTCATGGGGGAGCTGAACTGCGAGACAACCAATCGAGTGGTAGTGCTGGCGCCGGGGGATGTGCCGGTACCGCTGAAGGTCCTCTGACACACGGCGGGGCTGACGCTGCGGCAACGGAACGTCCCACCCCCTGATGACGAGGCTCCGCCCTTGTTGTCCAGAGGGGCAGGGACAGCGAAGCTCTCGTCCTGTTTGGTTGCCGTGTTGGTGGGCGTGGTCGATACGCTGGTCAACTGCTGTTGCACCGGAGAGATGGGAGAGATGGGGGTCAGAAATCCAAAATGGCCGCCGTCCTGCAGTCTGGACTGGGCCTGGAAAGACTGGCCACTGTGGCCCGGAACAGCGAAGGCGTGCGGCTTACGGAAGTGGTCGTCCACTAGATCCTGGTAGCTGGGCAGGAGTCCACCAAGGCTGTGGTTAGAGATGGATAACCCAGACCCTGGCCCTGCTCCGACTCCTCCAGTTGCTCCAGTTCCACCACTGTTGTAGCGGTTGTTGATCCACTCCAGTTTAGCCTTGTCTGGGTGAGTGGCCATGGGCCTCTGCATGGGCTTGACGGGGCTGGAGGAGACAGACACCACGGAGGCATCGTCGTGGTAACCCCCTGCCATGCTGGAGTTGATGGGGGTGAAGGCAAACGGGTTCCTGCACTCCACAGGGCTAGGCGGTATGCTACTAGAACAGTTGGACAGAGCGCTTATAGGGGTGTGTCGGCCTCCTAGAGGCCCCTCCACGGGCGTGATAGGGGCCATGCTGTGATGGCAGCAGGGGCTCCCTCTGGTCAGCCCGTGCCCGCCGAGAGTCATCTCCGTGGGGGTAGGGGTTGGAGTCGGGGTGGGGGTCGGGGTGGGGGTCTGGACGGGGGTAATGCTGCTATGGGCAGACTGGTAGAAAGAAGAGTTACCCCCCTGGTGGTGGTTGTTGATGATGGGCCCCTGGGGGCCACCAGGCTGGCCCTGGAGAGAGATATTATCCACACAGCTACTGAACAGTGGCTGGAGGCCCTTCAGCTTCATCTGTTCTTCCATCTGAACCAGTTCCTCTACTATGCTGTCCTGGGTCATATCATCATCGTTAAAGGAGAAGTAGTCCATGGTGGAGCCGTGCTGGGAGGCTGAGGAGGCAAAGTCCACCATCTCCTGGTGAAGGCCAGATAACTGGGCAGAGGAGTCTGAGGTCTGGGATATGATTTTGGGGAGTTGGTGTTGGTCTGCAGAACCCAGGGCCTGCTGCTTGGTGTGGTCTGCTGGTATCTAGAATAGAATGAAATAGAACAGAACTGTATTGACCATCAGAGGAGGACAATGTTTTATTGGCATCACCCTACAAGGATGATTAAAACCATCAAATTACATTTTAATAAGTAATGTGTCCGGTCAATTGTTATAATATTGTGGAATGACACTTTAACAAACTTTTCTAAACTCCACAAATGAAAACCAATTAGCCTGATACATATACTAAAGAAGGACACATAGTGTGGGTCATTATAAGAACTCACATTCTGAGTGAAGGCCTGTTTCTGCAGCTCCTCCAGATGCCCTGTGGCTGACTCCTCCCACATTGTGCTATTCATGTCCCCCATCACAGAGACAGAGGCCTCGGAGTGTTGCTGTGCTCCTACTGCCATCACAGAGACAGAGGTCTCAGAGTGTTGCTGTGCTCCTACTGCCATCACAGAGACAGAGGCCTCAGAGTGTTGCTGTGCTCCTACTGCCATCACAGAGACAGAGGCCTCAGAGTGTTGCTGTGCTCCTACTGCCATCACAGAGACAGAGGCCTCAGAGTGTTGCTGTGCTCCTACTGCCATCACAGAGACAGAGGCCTCAGAGTGTTGCTGTGCTCCTACCGCCATCACAGAGACAGAGGTCTCAGAGTGTTGCTGTGCTCCTACCGCCATCACAGAGACAGAGGTCTCAGAGTGGTGTGCTCCACTGCCCTCACCAGAGGGCCCGAGGTGTTGCTGTGCTCCTACTGCCATCACAGAGACAGAGGCCTCAGAGTGTTGCTGTGCTCCTACTGCCATCACAGAGACAGAGGCCTCAGAGTGTTGCTGTGCTCCTACTGCCATCACAGAGACAGAGGCCTCAGAGTGTTGCTGTGCTCCTACTGCCATCACAGAGACAGAGGCCTCAGAGTGTTGCTGTGCTCCTACTGCCATCACAGAGACAGAGGCCTCAGTGTGTTGCTGTGCTCCTACTGCCATCACAGAGACAGAGGCCTCGGTGTGTTGCTGTGCTCCTACTGCCATCACAGAGACAGAGGCCTCGGTGTGTTGCTGTGCTCCTACTGCCATCACAGAGACAGAGGCCTCAGAGTGTTGCTGTGCTCCTACTGCCATCACAGAGACAGAGGCCTCGGTGTGTTGCTGTGCTCCTACTGCCATCACAGAGACAGAGGCCTCAGAGTGTTGCTGTAGTAAGGCCTGTTGTTGCTGTTGCTGTTGTTGTTGTTGTTGTTGTTGTTGCTGCTGCTCAGACACTGTGGTGGTGCTACAAGGGTCTGCAGTGCTGCTGGTGTGACTGCTGACAGTGCTGAGAGTTAGAGAGGACGGGTCCTCATGTTTCACTAGCAGCAGCGAGGAGGACTGGGGCTTCACATTGACAGTCTGAGAGGAGGAAAGGTAGGAGATCTCCGCGTTGGTGACGGGCGAGTCGGACAGCGCCAGGATCTGCGTGGGCACTAGGTGTTGTTTCACCGTCACTCGACAGGGGGCGCTCTCTGGTCGGGCGGGGGTGCCTGGTCTGGCTGGGACCCTCTTGACGGCGGCGGTGACCCCTGGTTTGGGGTCAAAGGTCACACCTAAAGGTTGTTGGGAGATGAAGACGCGCTTCACGGGGATCACGTGGGAGGAATCGAGACCGGGGCCGGTTCGCTTCCGGGGGCTCTTAGAACCTGACGCACAGGAGGAGGAGTCTTTAGGAGCGTTCTGATTGGCCGAGGGCACAACAGTCAGATAAAAAGGACTTTCTTGGTGACAGGTGGTGGTGGCGGTACTGCTGTTGTTATTGCGGCCCTGCTGGGTCCCTGCCCTAATAGTCGCTGCATTGGTGGCAGCGGCGGGAGGGGAGGTAGAGGAGGGGTCGCTTTTGGTCCTGGCGGTCACTCTGTCAGGTCCTGGGGAGCATTTGACCAGGAGCGAGGGTTCGCTGGACGCTCGGTACTTAGTGGCCCTCTCTAGACACTTGGCCCCACCGGGGGACTGCTGTATGGTGCTCTGTTTATCAGAGTTATTGTCAGTGATGATGGCCTCAGGGGCCACTGTGGGAGTGGGGGTGGAGGCTGGGGGGCCTCCCTGGCTCTGCCCCTGTTGCCGTACCTCCTCTAGGGCGGCGGTGGTGGAAAAGGTGGCGGTGGTGGTGGTTCCCACCCCGGCCGACGCTGAAGCTGGCCTGAGGACCATACTGTTCCTGCTGGTGCTGATAGTGTTGCTAGGGGCCAGGGAGATGGCGGTCATCTTGACCACGTTGACGTGGGAGCTGAGCTGGGGCTGGATCACGTGGCGGGTCTTGATGGGGCTGTTGGTGATGAGCAGGGTGGGGGGTGAACGCAGGGTGATGGCCCCTGTGGCAGAGGGCTTGGGGAGGATCTGGGGGTACCTGTGGGTCCAGGAGATGGAAATAGATTATTAACACAAACAAGACAACCGAACTTTAAAAAGCATACTCAACGGAGAATGTTCATTGAATTAGCTTTTTAGTGGTAGGAATGGAGTACACTCATAGAAAGAAATGTGCTACTGTATCTAGAAACGTAAAGAGTTCTTCGGCTGTCCACATAGTAGAACCCTTTTGGTTCCAGTTAGAACCCTTTTGGGTTCCATGTAGAACCCTTTCCTGTTACAGGAGGGGGTCGCAGTTCCGTAGCGATCCACTAGGTGTCATCCTCCGACAACCTTAGGCACCTCCTCACTCACAGTCTGGACTAATCAGTATCCTATTGGTGTCACCTGTGTCTACCTGTTCACCTGTGTATTTATGCCCTCACTTCCCTGTGTTCCCTTGCTCAGTTTTCTCTGCTAGTTTCTCTATGTCCAGCAGTACTACTCAGTGTCTGATCGGAGATCTATGTACAGGTACTTGAGAAGTGTTCTCCCTGTTTCGTTATTTGTTTCAGTCTTAGGTAGTATTTCGTATTTTGGCTGTCAGACGGTTTTTGGAGACTTATTTGCTCCAGCCTTTCTTTTATTGTGATAAGTCCGTTATTTTGTACCCTGGTTTTGGGACCACCAGTAAAGATCCTTGTTTCACCATCTCTGCCTACTGCCTACTGTATATCCTGCACCGCACCTGGGTCACACCTCACACCAATCCTTACACTTTCCACAGAGGGTTCTAAATGGAACCCAAAAAGGGTTCTACCGGGAACCAAAAAGGGTTCTAACTGGAACTAAAAGGGTTTTAACTGGAACTAAAAGGGTTCTAACTGGAACTAAAAGGGTTCTCCTATGGTGAGAGCCGAGGAACCCTTTTGGAACCCTTTTTACTAAGAGCGTAGGGTGGGCTTAATCTGTGTCCGGGAAACCGGCCCATAGTGTATTTAAAAGTGTTCTATAGAAATAAAATCTATTATTATGATGACGGTGATCCTTATTGTTACCTGTGCCTGGCCAGGCGGTCTCCCACGGGGCAGGCTGAGATGTTCTGGGGCATTTTAGGGGACTGTCTGTGGGTTAGAGACTGGGTGTGGGTGACCACCTGGAAGTTGACCGTTGGCATGACCTTCCCCTCGGGGGACCCCACCGGGCTGGGGGAGGTCACCAGCTGCCTGCTCCTCTGGACCTGCTGGGAGACACACAGTGGAACATGTTAGACATGGCGCTTGCCAATGTCGTGGGTTTCGATTCCCGAGGCCACCCATACGTTAATAATTTATACAGCGAGAATGTAAGTCGCTTTTGGATAAAAGCACCTGCTATAAAAGACATCCACTACCCGTTCAAAAGTTTGGGGTCACTTAGAAATGTCCTTGTTTTCGAAAGAAAAGCAAAAAAAATTGTCCATTAAAATAACATCAAATTGATCAGAAATACAGTGTTAATGTTGTAAATAGCTATTGTAGCTGGAAACGGTTGATTTTTAATGGAATATCTACATGGGCGTACAGAGGCCCATTATTAGCAACCATCAGTCCTGTGTTCCAATGGCACATTGTGTTTGCTAATCCAAGTTTATCATTTTAAAAGGCTAATTGACCACTAGAAAACCCTTTTGCAATTATGTTAGCACAGCTGAAAACTGTTGTGCTGATTAAAGAAGCAATAAAATTGGCCTTCTTGAGACTAGTTGAGTATCTGGAGCATCAGCAATTGTGGGTTCGAATACAGGCTCAAAATGGCCAGAAACAAATAATTTTCTTCTGAAACTCGTCAGTCTATTCTTGTTCAGAGAAATGAAGGCTATTACATGTGAGAAATTGCCAAGAAACGGAAGATCTCGTACAACGCTGTGTACTACTCCCTTCACAGAACAGCGCAAACTGGCTCTAACCAGAATAGAAAGAGGAGTGGGAGGCCCCGGTGCACAACTGAGCAAGAGGACAAATACATTAGAGTGTCTAGTTTGAGAAACAGACGCCTCACAGGTCCTCAACTGGCAGCTTCATTAAATAGTACCCGCAAAACACCAGTCTCAACGTCAACAGTGAAGAGGCAACTCCGGGATGCTGACCTTCTAGACAGAGTTGCAAAGAAAAAGCCATATCTCAGACTTGCCAATAAAAAGAAAATATTAAGATGGGCAATCTGAGATATGGCTTTTTCTTTGCAACTCTGCCTAGAAGGTCAGCATCCCGGAGTCACCTCTTCACTGTTGACGTTGTCTACACTGTATTTCTGATCAATTTGATGTTATTTTAATGGACAAAAAAAATGAAAACAAGGACATTTCTAAGTGACCCCAAACTTTTAAACAGTGTATATTACAATCAACAGAGGTTCATCAATTATACTGACTCAGCATTGTCAACGCTGGGAGAACAAGTACAGGCAACAAGTAGGATGACCTGGCAGAATAGACAGGCTCTGGATTGGCTCCTAGCAGAAGAAGTCGGAGTCTGTGTTATGTTTCGGAAGCGAGGGCTGCACTTTTAGCCCTAATAATACTGCCCCAGGAGGAATATTCTCGGAGGCAATGATCAAGCTTAAAGGATTGAGACAGAAAGTCAAGAACAATGCTGGGCACGTACCCGGGATTGGCTGGACTTGACATTTGGAAAATGTGGAGCAATGTTCACAAAAATGGCAATGATAATAGGCATTTCACTGGTAATAATGGGAATAGTATTTTGCTGTGTGTTGCCATTGCTGAAATCCTTGGTTGATCAAAACCACGGTGAAACAAATGACTGTGAGGAGAACGACCATAAGGACCAAAACCGAATGGGACATGAACTTGACAGAGGTGATCCCAGTTACCAGGGAAACCAGGACATTATACGAATTCTAACGGGAAGCCCTGCAACGTCAAAGGAGGACCTCTTGACTGCCCTCACGGAAACCCAGAATGTCTTTATAGGGTAGTGGCAGGAGGAGGGGCTTGTCATGACTACAAGGACAAGCAAAAGCTGGAGAAACCTGTACTTGGAGATGTTAATCTCTCAGATTTATATCCTGTTCCATATTACTTTTGTGATGATAATGACTCTAGAATTACAGTGGGGGAAAAAAGTATTTAGTCAGCCACCAATTGTGCAAGTTCTCCCACTTTAAAAGATGAGAGAGGCCTGTAATTTTCATCATAGGTACACGTCCACTATGACAGACAAAATGAGAAGAAAAAAAATCCAGAAAATCACATTGTAGGATTTTTAATGAATTTATTTGCAAATTATGGTGGAAAAAAAGTATTTGGTCACCTACAAACAAGCAAGATTTCTGGCTCTCACAGACCTGTAACTTCTTCTTTAAGAGGCTCCTCTGTCCTCCACTCGTTACCTGTATTAATGGCACCTGTTTGAACTTGTTATCAGTATAAAAGACACCTGTCCACAACCTCAAACAGTCACACTCCAAACTTCACTATGGCCAAGACCAAAGAGCTGTCAAAGGACACCAGAAACAAAATTGTAGACCTGCACCAGGCTGGGAAGACTGAATCTGCAATAGGTAAGCAGCTTGGTTTGAAGAAATCAACTGTGGGAGCAATTATTAGGAAATGGAAGACATACAAGACCACTGATAATCTCCCTCGATCTGGGGCTCCACGCAAGATCTCACCCCGTGGGGTCAAAATGATCACAAGAACGGTGAGCAAAAATCCCAGAACCACACGGGGGGACCTAGTGAATGACCTGCAGAGAGCTGGGACCAAAGTAACAAAGCCTACCATCAGTAACACACTACGCCGCCAGGGACTCAAATCCTGCAGTGCTAGACGTGTCCCCCTGCTTAAGCCAGTACATGTCCAGGCCCGTCTGAAGTTTGCTAGAGTGCATTTGGATTATCCAGAAGAGGATTGGGAGAATGTCATATGGTCAGATGAAACCAAAATAGAACTTTTTGGTAAAAACTCAACTCGTCGTGTTTGGAGGACAAAGAATGCTGAGTTGCATCCAAAGAACACCATACCTACTGTGAAGCATGGGGTGGAAACATCATGCTTTGGGGCTGTTTTTCTGCAAAGGGACCAGGACGACTGATCCGTGTAAAGGAAAGAATGAATGGGGCCATGTATCGTGAGATTTTGAGTGAAAACCTCCTTCCATCAGCAAGGGCATTGAAGATGAAACGTGGATGAGTCTTTCAGCATGATAATGATCCCAAACACACCGCCCCGGGAAACGAAGGAGTGGCTTCGTAAGAAGCATTTCAAGGTCCTGGAGTGGCCTAGCCAGTCTCCAGATCTCAACCCCATAGAAAATCTTTGGAGGGAGTTGAAAGTCCGTGTTGCCCAGCGACAGCCCCAAAACATCACTGCTCTAGAGGAGATCTGCATGGAGGAATGGGCCAAAATACCAGCAACAGTGTGTGAAAACCTTGTGAAGACTTACAGAAAACGTTTGACCTGTGTCATTGCCAACAAAGGGTATATAACAAAGTATTGAGAAACTTATGTTATTGACCAAATACTTATTTTCCACCATAATTTGCAAATAAATTCATTAAAAATCCTACAATGTGATTTTCTGGATTTGTTTTTCTAATTTTGTCTGTCATAGTTGACATGTACCTATGATGAAAATTACAGGCCTCTCTCATCTTTTTAAGTGGGAGAACTTGCACAATTGGTGGCTGACTAAATACTTTTTTCCCCCACTGTATTTATTCGCTGACATAGTTTTGTCATGGTGCCCGCACATCGGCCCCTCTTACGCAGCCTTTTCCTCTTCTGGTGTCGGGATTAGGGCCTGGTCCGGGGTGAGCAGTATGTCCTGCGCCACCGACTCCTTGAAATCTTCATCCAAATCGAGGTTAGTGATTGCTGTTCTGATTTCCAGAAGCTATTTTCGGTCATAGGAAACGATGGCGTAAACATTATGTACAAAAAAAGTTACGATCAGCGCCAACAAACACACCAAATAGCAGAATTGTTCAGGAGCCCGTAAAACAGCAGCTATCCATTGCAGCACCATTCTTGACATTCAATAAATTATTGCCTTATCTTTCCTTACAATATTGAGCATGTAGTCTAAAACCATTATCAATCTTGTCTGATCTGTGTGCGTGTGTATCTGTGCATGCTTGTGTGCATACATATGTTATCCCATCTTACCGTGACGGGGCTGGGGACGGCTGCCACCACTATACCAATGGTAGGTTGTGGTGAGAGCAGAGCAGGACTTCCACAGGGGATAGCTGGCCCTGGGGTGCTGGCCTCGGCCCTCCTGGCCTGGTTCTGTCCCTGTCCCTCTCCAGGCAGGGGGGACTGGAGCTTCTGATCCTGCTGCTTCTTCTGGATCTTCCTCTGGAGCTGCTGCTTGGCGTCCACCGAGGGAGAGGCCAGCGTCTTCACCTGCGGCTGGAAGGACGAGGCCTCGGACGTGGGCACGAACGCAGAGGTTGGCGTGGGCGTCTTCAGACCTGGTGAGACATACAGATGAGAAAATAGATTTCTCAACACACCTGAGAAATGGTATCTGCAGCACTAGTGCTTGACTCTGGCAACTACAGCTTGATACATGAGCAAGACTCCCAAGTTCTTTCCCATCAAGAGCCCAAAACCTAGTCCCGTTACCTGTGGGTGCCCGCTTAGCGTTGACATGGACTTGGTCCCAATGTAGTGACTGTTGACTGTTGACCCCCTGTTGACTGTGGTCATCAACACCACCCAACACCGTCTCTACCACCATCCCCATTAGCCTTGCCTACCTGTCCCTTTCATACCACCATCCCCATTAGCCTTGCCTTCCTGTCCCTTTCATACCACCATCCCCATTAGCCTTGCCTACCTGTCCCTTTCATACCACCATCCCCATTAGCCTTGCCTTCCTGTCCCTTTCATACCACCATCCCCATTAGCCATGTCTTCCTGTCCCTTTCATACCACCATCCCCATTAGCCTTGTCTTCCTGTCCCTTTCATACCACCATCCCCATTAGCCTTGCCTACCTGTCCCTTTCATACCACCATCCCCATTAGCCTTGCCTACCTGTCCCTTTCATACCACCATCCCCATTAGTCTTGCCTTCCTGTCCCTTTCATACCACCGTCCCCATTAGCCTTGCCTACCTGTCCCTTTCATACCACCGTCCCCATTAGCCTTGCCTTCCTGTCCCTTTCATACCACCGTCCCCATTAGCCTTGCCTACCTGTCCCTTTCATACCACCGTCCCCATTAGCCTTGCCTTCCTGTCCCTTTCATACCACCATACCCATTAGCCTTGTCTACCTGTCCCTTTCATACCACCATCCCCATTAGCCTTGTGGTCCTCTGTAGCTCAGCTGGTAGAGCACGGCGCTTGTAACGCCAAGGTAGTGGGTTCGATCCCCGGGACCACCCATACACAAAAATGTATGCACACATGACTGTAAGTCGCTTTGGATAAAAGCGTCTGCTAAATGGCATATTATTTATTATTTATCCCCATTAGCCTTGCCTACCTGTCCCTTTCATACCACCATCCCCATTAGCCTTGTCTACCTGTCCCTTTCATACCACCATCCCCATTAGCCTTGTCTTCCTGTCCCTTTCATACCACCATCCCCATTAGCATTGCCTACCTGTCCCTTTCATACCACCATCCCCATTAGCCTTGTCTACCTGTCCCTTTCATACCACCATCTCCATTAGCCTTGCCTACCTGTCCCTTTCATACCACCATCCCCATTAGCCTTGCCTTCCTGTCCCTTTCATACCACCATCCCCATTAGCCATGTCTTCCTGTCCCTTTCATACCACCATCCCCATTAGCCTTGCCTACCTGTCCCTTTCATACCACCATCCCCATTAGCCTTGTCTACCTGTCCCTTTCATACCTCAATCCCCATTAGCCTTGCCTTCCTGTCCCTTTCATACCACCATCCCCATTAGCCTTGCCTACCTGTCCCTTTCATACCACCATCCCCATTAGCCTTGTCTACCTGTCCCTTTCATACCACCATCCCCATTAGCCTTGCCTACCTGTGGGAGCCCCAGTCATGACGGTGAGGGCAGCCATGGACTTGGTTCCTATGTAGTGACTGTTGAGCAGGAAGCGAGCCAGGTCCTCCACGGCATCAAACTGTCTGCTGAGGACCTTCTGAGCCCACTCACACACCAAGCCACAGGCCGCTGAGCGCATCTCATCCTCTGCACTGGGAGACTGGCCCGACGACGCCTCCATCAACTCACACTGGAGAGAGAAGAGGGTTAAGTCGGGGGAAGAGGTCATTCAGATCTGATATCCTGTCTGGAGTTAGGGGAAGAGGTCATTCAGATCTGATATCCTGTCTGGAGTTAGGGGAAGAGGTCATTCAGATCTGATATCCTGTCTGGAGTTAGGGGAAGAGGTCATTCAGATCTGATATCCTGTCTGGAGTTAGGGGAAGAGGTCATTCAGATCTGATATCCTGTGTGGAGTTAGGGGAAGAGGTCATTCAGATCTGATATCCTGCCTGGAGTTAGGGTGGATTTACTAGGAATGGGGTCAATTCCATTTAAATTCAGATCTAAACTGAAATTCAAATTCAAATGTTCCTAAACTTGCTTCTCAATGAGATTTGGAAATTGATTATCAGTGTACTTCCTGAATTGACTGAATTGAAATGGAACTGACCCCAACCCTGAAATCTACACGTACTTGCTCTGAAATGATTATGGCCACTTCCTGGCTAAAAAGCCATCATGTAAACTTACCCCGTCGCCTGATTTTTGTAAGTCCAGGTTGGGCAGAGAAGGCATGTGAACAAAAGCTTTCTTCCTCAGTCCACTGTAACAGTATTTAGATTTGCCTCTCATGCCCAGGCGGCGAGCCTTCATGTTGGGAAAGACATTCTTCATGATCTTTCCAAAGTCTGCAGCACTCAGTGGGTGATAAGCAAGACTGTCACAGTAACTCCTGAAAAACACATTCACGATATCGTAGACATGACACGTATCATCACAATACAACCTTCACACGTACGAACCCAATACGATCTGTGCATGTTGGCACGTAGGGAGTTATTCCTAACCACTGTGCTTCTGCCCCTGCATTGCTTGCTCTCTGGAGTTTAAAGGCTGGGTAACTGCTGGTGTAAAAAGGGCTTCATAAAAAATAAATGTGATTGATCGGAACGGTTGACAGAAAGAAACACACTAAAGGTTAGACGATTCTCTAGTTAATAAAGATAATCAAATGTAATAAATGTAAACATGGCAAATAAACGTGAAATTTTTACAACTAGAACTGGATGATTTTGCTATAGACGACTTTGGCAACAAAGGTATACATTCATCAATCCATGTCTTCAACGGGTCAAACCACTCCTGCTACTACACTCGAGGGCCGCTGTCCTAGACACAGTTTAAACCTAGTCTAGGAAGCACTTTCCACGGAGATTCGGTACTGAGAACCCAGGTAGGGTTGCAAACGTCAGTAACTTTCCCCAAAATTCCCTGGTTTTCCTGAAATCCTGGTTGGATTTCTTGCTTATTCCCTTTTGATTCCTGGAATCTTCTAACCAGGATTTCTGGAAAACCTTTTGCAACCCTATTTACAGGCCAACCCTATATACAGGTCAACCCTATATACAGGTCAACCCTATATACAGGCCAACCCTATATACAGGCCAACCCTATATACAGGCCAACCCTATATACAGGCCAACCCTATATACAGGCCAACCCTATATACAGGCCAACCCTATATACAGGTCAACCCTATATACAGGCCAACCCTATATACAGGCCAACCCTATATACAGGTCAACCCTATATACAAGCCAACCCTATATACAGGTCAACCCTATATACAGGCCAACCCTATATACAGGCCAACCCTATATACAGGTCAACCCTATATACAGGCCAACCCTATATACAGGTCAACCCTATATACAGGTCAACCCTATATACAGGTCAATCCTATATACAGGTCAACCCTATATACAGGCCAACCCTATATACAGGCCAACCCTATATACAGGCCAACCCTATATACAGGCCAACCCTATATACAGGTCAACCCTATATACAGGTCAACCCTATATACAGGCCAACCCTATATACAGGCCAACCCTATATACAGGCCACACTCACTTGTATTCGTCGTACACCTCTTGCTTTGGCAGGGATGTCTCGGGGTGCTCCTCTAGGTGATTCCAGATCCAGTTGAAAGCGTACATCTGCTGTGTTCGACTGGACGACATGCCACTCTGGTCACTGACCCAGTTAACGTTACACCAACACAAACAGGTTAGTGGTGAAACAACCTCCTGTAGTGTTTTCTTTCAATGAATACATTTGACTCATTTAGCAGACGCTCTTATCCAGAGCGACTTACAGTTTTAGTGAGTGCATACATTTTCCATACTGCCCCCCCCCCCGTGGGAAACGAACCCACAACCCTGGCGTTGCAAGCGCCATGCTCTACCAACTGAGCTACAGCGGACTATAGTGTGTATCTGTGTGATGTAGTGGTATACGTACCATATTCCAGGAGTGGAGGCTCTCTGATTCTCAGTCCTAGTGATGTTGTAGGGTTGGAGGGTTGTAGGGTTGGAGGGTTGGAGGGTTGGAGGGTTGGAGGGTTGTAGGGTTGGAGGGTTGGAGGGTTGGAGGGTTGTAGGGTTGGAGGGTTGTAGGGTTGTAGGGTTGGAGGGTTGTGGGTTGTAGGGTTGGAGGGTTGGAGGGTTGTAGGGTTGGAGGGTTGTAGGGTTGGAGGGTTGTAGGGTTGGAGGGTTGTAGGGTTGTAGGGTTGGAGGGTTGTAGGGTTGTAGGGTTGGAGGGTTGGAGGGTTGGAGGGTTGGAGGGTTGGAGGGTTGGAGGGTTGTAGGGTTGTAGGGTTGGAGGGTTGTAGGGTTGGAGGGTTGGAGGGTTGTAGGGTTGGAGGGTTGGAGGGTTGGAGGGTTGTAGGGTTGGAGGGTTGAGGTAATGGACAGACAAATAGATAAATATGGCGTAAACAAATTAAGAACACAGAAAGCTGGATATAATAGCAAATCAATCATTATACTAGTATTGCTTCATAATGGTACAAAAAAAACAATGATATGAGCAGCCATAAACAGAAGATCACAAGACAGAGACTGCAGTGTTGAATATTGATGCAAAGGAATTGTAGAGACACTTTTTTTTCTTCCAAATACACCGAAATATGAGTTTAATGAAAACATCCTGCTTGTAGAGCCTTGCACAGGCATGCCTGCGACGTTCAGGCCCTACCCTACCCAGGCCCAATTACTTCTGCCAAAATTAAGGCCCTGCCCGAAATAACTTCCTCTTTTAGTAAATCCATTAGCTGCTCCCATCTGTCTGTCATTCGCTCCCTGCTCGCTCTGCATGCGCTCTGCTCATGGGCGGCTCTGAGTCTGTGAGTATCCATAGCAACGGCTCCACTTAGGCTGCTCTGAGAGCAGTTAGCTGTTAGCGACTTTTCATCACTCTAAACTCAAGACAAAACTCAAGGAACATGATTATTTTCTGTGAAATAATCTCTCCTGTGTTATATTTGACGAGGTTGAAGCGCTTCTGACACCACGTTATGATCTCAGTCAGATATGACCGTACTGCACAGCAGAGCACGAGCAAATGGCTCAGCTTCAAAATGTTAGTGATCAATTTAGTGTTACACGAGCCCTGCCCGTAATCTAGTTATCAATTGAAAAAATAAGGCCCTACCCGGCCCTAACACGATGTATGATGTGGTGGCCCGTCGGGCTCGGGTCTGGTAGCAGAGCTCTACCTGCTTGTGATCAAAAAGCAGCTGGGTAAAAAGACAGGACTATCAGGAAACCCAAAAAATAAAATGGCCATCACAATAACAATATCGTGCTCCACAAACAGAAATATAATACAATGCAATATAGGCTACAAAGTGCAATGAGAGAATATATGATAAAATATAGGCTACAAAGTGCAATGAGAGAATATATGATAAAATATAGGCTACAAAGTGCAATGAGAGAATACAGTGCCTTCAGAAAGTAGTCACACCCCTTGACTTTTTCCACATTTTGTTGTTACAGCCTGAATTCAAAATGGATTCCATTTAGATTGTTTTGTCACTGGTCTACACACAATCATGTCAACATGGAATCATGTTTTTCAATCATGTTTTACAAATTAATTAAAAATAAAAAGCTGAAATGTCTTGAGTCAATAAGTATTCAACCCATTTCTTATGGCAAGTCTAAAAAGGTTCAGGAGTAAAGAATTGCTTAACAAGTCACATAATACGTTGCATGGACTCCCTCTGTGTGCAATAATAGTGTTTAACATGATTTTTGAATGACTACCTCATCTCTGTACCCCACACATACAATTATCTGTAAGGTCCCTCAGTCGCGCAGTGAATTTCAAACACAGATTCAACCACAAAGACCAGGGAGGTTTTCCAACGCCTCGCAAAGAAGGGCAACTATTGGTACATGGGTAAAAAAGAAAGAAAAGCAGACATTGAAAATCCCTTTGAGCATGGTGGAGTTATTAATTACACTTTGGATGGTGTATCAATACACCCAGTCACTACAAAGATACAGGCGCCGTTCCTAACTCAGTTGTCAGAGAGGAAGGAAACCGCTCAGGGATTTCGCCATGAGGCCAATGGTGACTTTAAAACAGTTACAGGGTTCAATGGCTGATGGTGATAGGAGAGAACTGAGGATGGATCAACAACATTGTAGTTACTCCACAATACTAATCTAATTGACAGAGTGAAAAGAAGGAAGCCTGTACAGAATACAAATATTCCAAAACATGCATCCTGTTTGCAACAAGGTCCTAAAGTAATACTGCTAAAACTTTGACAAAGCAATTAACTTTTTGTCCTAAATACAAAGTGTTATGTTTGGGGCAAATCCAATACAACACATTACTGAGTACCATTCTCCATATTTTCATATTTTCAAGCATAGTGGTGGCTGCATCATGTTATGGGTATGCTTGTAATCGGTTAAGGACTGGGGAGTTTTTCAGGATAAAAAAGAAACGGAATGGAGCAAAGCACAGGCAAAATCCTAGAGGAAAACCTGGTTCAGTCCGCTTTACACCAGACACTGGGAGATTAATTCACCATTCAGCAGGACAATGACCTAAAACAAAAGGCCAAATCTACACTGGAGTTGCTTACCAAGAAGACAGTGAATGTTCCTGAGTGGCGGCGTTAAAGTTTTGACTTAAATCTGCTATATCTATGGCAAGACCTGAAAATGGTTGTCTAGCAATGATCAAAAAACAATTTGACAGAGCTTGAAGAATTTTGAAAAGAATAATGGGCAAATGTTGCACCATCCAGGAGTGGAAAGCTCTTAAAGACTTACCTAGAAAGACTCACAGCTGTAATCACTACCAAAGGTGATTCTAACATGTATTTACTCAGGAAGTTGAATACTTAACTGCTCAAGATATATTAGTGTTTTATTATTCATGTTTCTTTTTTTTAGTAATGTTAGAATTTTTCTTCCACTTTGACTTTACAGAGTATTTTGTGTAGATAGTTGACAAAAAAAATGACAACGAAATTAATTTGAATCCCACTTTGTAACACAACAAAATGTGGAAAAAGTCAAGGGGTGTGAATACTTTCTGAAGACACTGTATATTATAAAATATAGGCTACAAAGTGCAATGAGATACAGCTAAATTGCCCTCTATGGCTCAGTTGGTAGAGCTATGCCCTTGCAATGCCTGGATTGCGGGTTTGATTCCAGGGGCCACCCATACAAAAAGAATTATGCATAAATGACCGTAAATCGCTTTGGATAAAAGCATCTGCTACATGGCATATATTATTATTATTATTATTATTATTATTATTAAATGAGAGAAAAATAGAAGACGTTACCTTTTATCATTGCTGGGACCAGAAGGCAACTTCAGATAGAGGTAGAGTTTTTCGATGTCTGTAAACTTCTCAATATCTTGCTGTAAAAGGAGAGGTAGTAGAAACAAAACGTTTAGTACAAACATACTTTCGCTGTGACCATGGGAACCAACCTGCTTCGCTGTTGTCAGTTACTACCTACTGTGACCATGGGAACCAACCTGCTTCGCTGTTGTCAGTTACTACCTACTGTGACCATGGGAACCAACCTGCTTCGCTGTTGTCAGTTACTACCTACTGTGACCATGGGAACCAACCTGCTTCGCTGTTGTCAGTTACTACCTACTGTGACCATGGGAACCAACCTGCTTCGCTGTTGTCAGTTACTACCTACTGTGACCATGGGAACCAACCTGCTTCGCTGTTGTCAGTTACTACCTACTTTAGTTGAATGTAACTGCTTGTAGCTACAGGTAACTGCCAAAATAAAGGAAACAACAACGTAAAGTGTCGTAACAGGGCGTTGGGACAGCTGGTGTTGGGACAGCTGGTGTTGGGACAGCTGGTGTTGGGACAGCTGGCGTTGGGACAGCTTCAATGCGCCTCGGCATAGATTCTACACGTGTCTGGAACTCTATTGGAGAGATGTGACACCATTCTTCCACGAGAAATTCCATCATGTGGTGTTTTGTTGATGGTGGCGCAAAACGCTCTCTCAGGCGCCGCTGCAGAATCTCCCATAAGTGTTCAATTGGGTTGAGATCTGGTGACTGAGACGGCCATGGAATATGGTTTACATCATTTTCATGCTCATCAAACCATTCAGGGACCACTCATGCCGTGTGGATGGGGGCATTGTCATCCTATGGGGGCATAGCCATGGTAGCCCAAATAATGGCCTGCCCATCATTTTTATACATGACCCTAAGCATGATGGGATGTTAATTGCTTAATTAATTCAGGAACCACACCTGTGTGGAAGCACCTGCTTTCAATATACTTTGTATCCATCATTTAACCAAGTGTTACCATTATTTTGGCAGTTACCTGTTAGTCTCTCTGGATAAGACTGAAATGGAATGTTAATGTGTTTATTATGATAATCAAAACACTGCACATGTTGTATATACAGATGCTTCCTGCTGGCACACTGACAACATGTCTTTGATTCCCACTACACAACAGACTCCACCCCACCTCCTTTTCAATTGGTTTCTAAGAATTAATTCATCTCACCTCTTCCTTTTCTATTTGCTTCTTTGTTGCTAGGGGAAGCGATACTTATGAATGAGGTGAGAGTTGTCAGCCAATCAGCGGAGAATAAAAAAGCCACTGTCTTTTCTAACAATATAGGTTAGCTATAGTCTGCTTTCATTCTGTTATGATTGACACAAGTAGGTCTAAGCCTACATATTAAATGGGTCTTCATGTCAGTAAGGCTTATTACCAGGATTGTGTTCACTAAGCACACAAAGATAGACAATTGACTAAAATAGGAAGGAACTACCTGGACTTGTAAAATAAGAATATATATATTTTTTGCGTTTAGTTGAAAACCATTTTGCTATGGTGTGCCCTGATGAACACGACCCAGGTTAAGACTTTGTGTACGATGACACGACGTAACATTATCAAGCCAACACCACACCAGACAGAGACACGGCGTAACATTATCAAGCCAACACCACACCAGACAGAGACACGGCGTAACATTATCAAGCCAACACCAGACCAGACAGAGACACGGCGTAACATTATCGAGCCAACACCAGACCAGACAGAGACACGGCGTAACATTATCAAGCCAACACCAGACCAGACAGAGACACTGCGTAACATTATCAAGCCAACACCAGACCAGACAGAGACACGACGTAACATTATCAAGCCAACACCAGACCAGACAGAGACACGGCATAACATTATCAAGCCAACACCAGACCAGACAGAGACACGGCGTAACATTATCAAGCCAACACCAGACCAGACAGAGACACGACGTAACATTATCAAGCCAACACCAGACCAGACAGAGACACGACGTAACATTATCAAGCCAACACCAGACCAGACAGAGACACGGCGTAACATTATCAAGCCAACACCAGACCAGACAGAGACACGGCGTAACATTATCAAGCCAACACCAGACCAGACAGAGACATGGTGTAACATTATCAAGCCAACACCACACCAGACAGAGACATGGCGTAACATTATCAAGCCAACACCAGACCAGACATAGACATGGCATAACATTATCAAGCCAACACCAGACCAGACAGAGACACAGCGTAACATTATCAAGCCAACACCACACCAGACAGAGACACGGCGTAACATTATCAAGCCAACACCAGACCAGAGAGAGACACAGCGTAACATTATCAAGCCAACACCAGACCAGAGAGAGACACAGCGTAACATTATCAAGCCAACACCAGACCAGACAGAGACACGACGTAACATTATCAAGCCAACGACAGACCAGACAGAGACACGGCGTAACATTATCAAGCCAACGCCACACCAGACAGAGACACGGCGTAACATTATCAAGCCAACACCAGACCAGACAGAGACACAGCGTAACATTATCAAGCCAACACCACACCAGACAGAGACACAGCATAACATTATCAAGCCAACACCACACCAGACAGAGACACGGCGTAACATTATCAAGCCAACACCAGACCAGACAGAGACACTGCGTAACATTATCAAGCCAACACCACACCAGACAGAGACACGGCGTAACATTATCAAGCCAACACCAGACCAGACAGAGACACGACGTAACATTATCAAGCCAACACCAGACCAGACAGAGACACGGCGTAACATGATCAAGCCAACACCACACCAGACAGAGACACAGCGTAACATTATCAAGCCAACACCAGACCAGACAGAGACACGGTGTAACATTATCAAGCCAACACCACACCAGACAGAGACACGGCGTAACATTATCAAGCCAACACCACACCAGACAGAGACACGGCGTAACATTATCAAGCCAACACCAGACCAGACAGAGACACGGCGTAACATTATCGAGCCAACACCAGACCAGACAGAGACACGGCGTAACATTATCAAGCCAACACCAGACCAGACAGAGACACTGCGTAACATTATCAAGCCAACACCAGACCAGACAGAGACACGACGTAACATTATCAAGCCAACACCAGACCAGACAGAGACATGGCATAACATTATCAAGCCAACACCAGACCAGACAGAGACACGGCGTAACATTATCAAGCCAACACCAGACCAGACAGAGACACGGCGTAACATTATCAAGCCAACACCACACCAGACAGAGACACGGCGTAACATTATCAAGCCAACACCACACCAGACAGAGACAATAACAGATCCTAGCACGCCACTCATACTCTGAGACAAGGGCCCAGACGACAGGATGAACAGACAGACAGACAGACACTCTGTCATGCTCTCAATGTTGACACAGAGAAGGTTCTCTAGCTATATCATAATAGAGCCAGTGATACCTTCAGGGTTGGGGTCAATTCCATTTCAATTCCAGTGAATCCAGAAAGTAAACAAAATTCCAATACCAAAATGTCCTCATTGAAAAGCATTGAAGTTAATTGGAATTTCAGTGTACTTCCTGAATTGGAATTGAAATGGAATTGACCCCAACCCTGGATAGCTTATCAGCCTTATGACATTATGAAGGTTCATAACTACATGCTTATAACCAGCATTATACCTGCATCATTTAAATAAAGTGTTACTGAAAGACAGTTGTACTAGCAATTACTGGTATTTCTATGCCATATTTTTCAAAAACCCACAAGGAAATCGAAATGATCACTAAATTGGTGCATTCCGGTTGATGAGCACCTTATAGTAGGTTAAACACTCTGCGTCTAAGACATGAAGCCCATATCTATCTACGACAACAACAACTACTCACCAATATGTTGTCCACTTTTGATTGTACAGATTTGCTACAATGAGAGAGAGAAAAATATATAGAGAGAGAGAGGGAGAGAGAGAGAGAGAGAGAGAGAGAGGGAGAGAGCGAGAGAGAGAGAGAGACAGATGAAGGCGAGAGAGAGAGAGAGAAGAGAGAGAGGAGAGAGAGGAGAGAGAGAGGAGAGAAGGCGAGCGAGAAGAGAGAGATAGAGAGAAGAGAGAGAGAGAGAGAGAAGAAGAGAGAGAAGAGAAGGCGGACGAGAGAGAGAGAGAGGTAGAGCGAGAGAGCGAGAGAGAGAGAGAGAGAGAGAAGAGACTCTCCTCTATCTCTCTCCTCTCGATATCTCTCCTCTCTTCTCTACTCTCCTTCCTCTCTAGAGATCTTCTGCTCTCTCCTCTCGTCTCCTTCCTCTCTCTCTCGCTCTCGTCTCGCTCTGCTCTCTCTCTCCTCTGCGCTCTTCTGCCCTGCTACTGCTCTCTCTTCTGGACTCTAGCTCTCGCTCCGTTCTCTACCTCCTCTCTTTCTCTTTTCGCTCTCTCTCTCTCGCTCTCTCTTCTCGTTCTTTCTTTTCCCACTTTTCCTCCCCGTTCCTTTCCTTACAAACCTATTCTCAGGTCAGTCCAAGCCCTCAATCCCACACAACAGCATGTTTTGTATACATCATAGCAATAGAATATAGAAAAGGACCCCTAGGCCCTACCTACAACCTATTCACTTGTGTAGATCTGATAGGATATGATAGGCGTAAGCAATGTGTTGGATATCCCACCTAGCCGGGCACGGGCGGCAGGTAGCTTAGTGGGTAAGAGCGTTGTGCCAGTAACCGAAAGGTCGCTGGTTCTAATCCCCGAGCCGACTAGGTGAAAAATCTGTCGATGTGCACTTAAACAAGGCACTTAACCCTAATTGCTCCTGTATGTCGCTCTGGATAAGAGTGTCTGCTAAATGACGTAAATGTTAAATGTAGCCAAGGTAGTTGTATTACTATATCACGTACACCTATCAGATCTCCTCAATGAAGACGTCCGTAGGTTCTAGGTCAGGTCTCATCAACAAGAATATGGAACAGTCCATGTTGTACTCAAACACTGTATTCAATGGCATTATGGATCATTTGTGTCATGGACACATCGCTAATCATACTGCAGGCTTATGACTATCATTGGGCCTCCCTTGGCTATGCATGCATACATGTTGCTAGCTAGCTATTACACACACATTACATTATCAATGTTAGCTAGCTAGTTGTCATGTTGTAACTAGCAAGCTACAGTGTGTGTGTACAGCCAGCTATTTCAATTTGTCTGGAAAATTGGTTAGGCTAACTAGTAGCAATCATTTCACAAGCAGCCCCACAGCCTAACAAGGAGATATGACCAATATTAGCTAGTTAGCTAGCTAACAAACTAAACGCAATTAATATTATACTACTAACGTCAGCTAGTTAAATACACATCATTGCAGTTAGCTATTAGCTAGCTACATATTGATTAGCTAACGAATCCAATACCTAAATGAGAGTGAGACCCCGATCTGTCATCATTTTGTACCTGTGCAGCGCCGTGACTAATTTAGAAGCGAGTGAAGTGTGTATAGTGTGTGTGTGTGTGTGCATTGGCCATTGAATGCATTGCTACATCTCTTACCAAATTGAATTCTTAATTTTGTACTGCAACGCATTGGCCTCGGGGCCCTGGAGTCCTGGTACTAGCGTTGGAAGAGAGCCCAATCCCGAGTTAGGCTTCAGCTGACCAGCTTGTTGTTGTTCATCTTCATCGGCCATCACGACGATATTCTCATTGAGGGGAGGTCGGTTGGTCCGAGGGGGGGGCGGGGGGGGGGGGGGGTTAACAAGTAGGCCTCATTCTATATGCCTCGATATAGCGCTGCAATCCCGGCTGTGTTGCTGTGCATGACGCCGGAGCGGAGTGCCCACCGTTTGATGATGAGGAGCGTATGATCTCTGAATAACCATCCACCCCTTAGCTAGGTTAACCTACTGGATCGACGATAGACCACGGGCGGTTAAGACTTATGATTTGACTGCACTTGAAATGTATAAAAGAAAAAAAACGGCATGCGGGAATACAAGTCATTATTTTGCAGAGAGAGGCTGGCCACTGCCGCAATCAGCGAGCACGCCTGCAGCAGTCTACCGCGATGCTGCTGGAAGGCTCTAGAGGCGCACTCACGTTGATGGAATGGAATGAAGCTGCAACAGAATTTCAGATTTTTATTTTATTTATTTATTTATTTAACCTTTATTTAACCAGGTAAGCCAGTTGAGAACAAGTTCTCATTTACAACTGCGACCTGGCCAAGATAAAGCAAAGCAGTGCGATAAAAACAACAACACAGAGTTACATATGGGGTAAAAAAACATAAAGTCAAAAAATACAACAGAAAATATATATACAGTGTGTGCAAATGTAGCAAGTTATGGAGGTAAGGCAATAAATAGGCTATAGTGCAAAATAATTACAATTAGTATTAACACTAGAATGGTAGATGTGCAAGAGATGATGTGCAAATAGAGATACTGGGGTGCAAATGAGCAAAATAAATAACAATATAGGGATGAGGTAGTTGGGCGGGCTAATTTCAGAAAGGCTGTGTACAGGTGCAGTGATCGGTAAGGTGCTCTGACAACTGATGCTTAAAGTTAGTGAGGGAGATAAGAGTCTCCAGCTTCAGAGATTTTTGCAATTCGTTCCAGTCATTGGCAGCAGAGAACTGGAAGGAATGGCGGCCAAAGGAGGTGTTGGCTTTGGGGATGACCAGTGAGATATACCTGCTGGAGCGCAGACTACGGGTGGGTGTTGCTATGGTGACCAATGAGCTAAGATAAGACAGGGATTTGCCTAGCAGTGATTTATAGATGGCCTGGAGATACAGCATCAATGTTTCGTTTATTAAATTGATAATAACAGTACAGTAACTGTATAATTACCGTTGTAATAACAGCATAACAGCAGTATAAACGTTATATTAAGAGTATTTGAACAAAGTATTTTACTCAACCCGAGCTAAAGTGAAACCAAAACGTATTTCCTGTAGTTCTAGAAGATGTTTTGGGAACAGAAATAGGACTGCCGCTATATTATAATCTATTCAATTCACTACACATGACGGCTACTGCAAAAATATATACGTAATTCAAGTATTACTAACTTTACTGTCAATAAATGTAGATAGGCAGGCTGAGCTAATTACATATTTTACTTGTCCAATATTGCCATATTTTTATCCACCCTGGTGTTGCAGTTTCTACCTATATTGTCATTATTACAGTGGGCCAGTAGGGGGTAGTGTTCCCTCAAATTAGACCCTGATGCTCCAAGGGCCGTGATTGGAGTCATTGACATTGCTCTACGTAGGATGACTCTGTGGTCACAAAAAAAAGATCCCATAGCACTTGTTTTAAGTGTAGGGGTGTTAACCCGGTGTCGTGGCTAAATTCCTCAACTGACCCTCATACAACCATGGTCACCTAAGACCTAATCATCTAATTGGCTCATTCATCCCCTCTCATCTCCCCTATCCCCCAGGTTGTTGATGTAAATGAGAATATCCTGTGTTTTCAGTCAACCGTTGGTAGAATGAGGGTTACATTTATTTATATCAAATCTCCCGAAATATTGTTTTCTTGTTGTTTTTCTCACTATCTTTCTGATTCCCTGTTCCTTCACGGGTATTCTCTATAAATTCCCTGTCAATCTCCTGTCACTTCTCAGCTGCGTTCAGCAGAGAGCAGAGAATGTCATCTGAGCGTTCGTTTGTCCATTAGGTTATTTACATTTTACATTTACGTCATTTAGCAGACGCTCTTATCCAGAGCGACTTACAGTTAGTGCATACATTATTTTATCGAACCCACAACCCTGGCGTTGCAAACGCCATGCTCTACCAACTGAGCTACATCCCCTGCCGGCCATTCCCTCCCCTAACCTGGACGACTCTGGGCCAATTGTAGCGCCGCCCCATGGGTCTCCCGGTCGTGGCCGGCTACGGCAGAGCCTGGATTCGAACCAGGATCTCTAGTGGCACAGCTAGCACTGCGATGCAGTGCCTTAGACCACTGCGCCACTCGGGAGTATGTATTAATGATCTCAAGGCAGCTGGGACCATAGTCACCAAGAAAACAATTGGTAACACACTACGCCGTGAAGGACTGAAATCCTGCAGCGGTTTAGGTTATTTCATTTAGGTTATTTCATTTGTAACTTTCCAGAATCATCTTCCTCAGGGCAGTCTGCATGTTCCAATTCATACACGGCACCTCTGACAATCTCAAAAGATACATCATATCTTTGAAAGACCAATAAACGATTTATGAATAGTGTACATAGGTAAGTATTGATAACATGTATAATACTTTACCATCACCATTATAAACATTTATAAGCACTTACCAATGGCTTATCAATTAACATGCTTTTATTTAACCGATCCCTTGTTGTCTTTCTGTTTATTGATGATCTTATTCATTACTTATAAAGAGTTGTGAGCATGTGAAACAAACCAATCGATAGTGTGACTGTGTCTTCGTCCAAATAGTGCCATTTGGCACACACCCTTACATTTTAGTCATTTTAGCAGACGCTCTTATCCAGAGCGACTTACAGTTAGTGAGTGCATACATTTTTCATACTGCCCCCCCCCCCCCCGTGGGAATCAAACCCACAACCCTGGCGTTGCAAGAGCCATGCTCTACCAACTGAGTTAGCATGTGTAACCCTGGTAACCAGTAAATTGACCAAAGGTGAAAGTGATGCATCAGGTGTAGTGCCACTGGTAATGAGGTGTACAGTGGCAGCTTAGCCACCCCTGAATGGTTCTTCTAGACTCTAGAGATATCTAACTAGGTAGATCTGCAACCTTAGTTCACACGCAGCAACCCAAAAATATTTTAGCCTCTTGGGAAGTCTGAAAGAGGCATAGTTCAGCCATAAAATGTCTTTTTCAGGAAGCTTGAGGAAATTATTTTAGCTATAATCTTGCCATTTTTCAGTACAACTTTGACATTTTGGAGAAAAGTGAAGATGGGCATCCGTTAACAAACATCTAATTAATGTTGTATTGCCTAGCCACTGGGAATGACGTGCCACTGTCAGCTCAGCCACACTGAATGGTTGAAGTTGTTTTCCTGAATGGTTTTTCTAGAGCAATCTCTCTAACTAGGTGTAGCTGGGGGCTGAGGGCAACTCAGTGCAGGGGTCAGCTGGTCCTGGTCCGCACGTGCAGCTAACACGTTACCTCTAGTCCTGCTTCTCTGATCGTCTTACCCGCCCCCACCCCCACCGGCCACACCACATCCTCATCCTCTGGCACCGCCTGTGTCCCGAATTACACCCTATTCCCTAAATAGTGCACTACTTTTGACCAGGACTCAATGGAAAAGTAGTGCACTATGTAAGGAATAGGGTGACATTTGGGACGGAAGACAAGATTAGCTTGCTGTTGCCAAGGACTTAGATAGAGCTTCATACTGTAGAATCACTAGAGTCACACCAGGCCAGCTATCAAACACCAACTTTGACGGGCTTTATTCTTCTCACACTCCTACGTGTTCATTTAAAATTGTAATTGAGATGTATCTGACTGTTACAACATGTGTATTAAAAAATATTTGGTTCAGCATCAAACAACAAAGTTTTAGAAACATATTATTAGGTCAGAATATAAATGTCACTGGCAAGCGTTATATGGAGGCGAAAGAAACGAACATCTGTTTAGGAGAGGTGCCGGCTAGCAGAGTAGAACACCTGTTTAGGGAGAGGTGCTGTCTGCAGAGTTTAGAACACATGTTTAGGAGAGGTGCTCGGTAAAGAGTAGAACACTGTTTAGGAGAGGTGGAGAGGAGGTGATGGCTAGCGGAGTAGAACACCTGTTTAGGAGAGGTGCTGGCTAGCAGAGTAGAACACCTGTTTAGGAGAGGTGCTGGGTAACAGAGTAGAACACCTGTTTAGGAGAGGTGCTGGCTAGCGGAGTAGAACACCTGTTTAGGAGAGGTGCCGGCTAGCAGAGTAGAACACCTGTTTAGGAGAGGTGCGCTAGCGAGTAGAACACCTGTTTAGGTAGAGGTGTGGTACAGAGTAGAACACTTTTAAATCGGTAAAGAGAGAGCACACCTTCTTAGGAGAGGTTGGCTAGTAGTTAAAACCTTAGGAAACGTTTCACAGAAAACTGTTTAGAGAGGGCCGGCAAATAGCACCGTTTAAGAGGCGTGGTAACAAAAAACACACTTTAGAGAGGGCGGCTAGAGAAACACCTTTTAGGAGAGTGCCGGCATAGCAGTAAACACCACCTATTAGGAGAGGTGCCGCTAGCGAGAAATAGAACACCTGTTTAGGAGTGCCTTGCATCAGTAGAACACCTGTTTAGGAGAGGTGTGCTGGCTAGCAGGAGTAGAACACCTGTTTAGGTGAGGTGATGGCTAGCAGAGTAGAACACTTTTCCTAAAGAAAGGAGAGCCGCACACTCTAGGAGCTCAGATGCAATAATTTAATAACCTAATAACCAACGTTTCCACAGACAAGCTGTCTTCATCAGGCAAGCGTCAGTCAGAGACCGATGTCCACACACACACACACACACACACACACACACACACACACACACACACACACATACACACACACACACACACACACTCATCTGAGCTGAACGACCCAGGAGGAAATATATACACTCTCCTCACCCTGGCCTTTGCATCAGTCTTTGTTCATTACAGTATTTTGACAACCAGGTGATTATTCAAACAGGAAATGCAAATGTTAATGG